AAATTCAGAAAAATGTTAATTTCCATTTTAAAAGTATTTTGTGCAGTTTTATCAAAACAGAGTGTAAAGGGTAATTGAATCTGCTGGGAGGGACTTTTTATTTCATCTATGAGGAATGAAAACATGAAAACATCGTTTGAAAGTTTTGGGGTTTTGCTTTCAGCTATTTCAGCTTCTACAACTACAGCTCCCAAGATTCTATTCGGTGACGCGTCATCGAATTCTGTCCAATAGTTGACTTTGGAGGTAAAAATACGGAAAAACAGAGAAACCTCGCATCGTTGTCACAGTTTTGTATTTTCTAAGTTTTGAGAGAAATCTGATGGATCCTGTCTGATGAAAGCGTCTGTTAGTTCAGGTAGGTTGAAGGTGTTTGTTGAGGAGTAATGCGACTCGCGTGGTTAATAACACTTCATTCTGAGTTTGCTCGGGATCGTCACGGTCATGTTGCTGTAAAGTGAACGAGACACTTGGTTCACCGATGGAGCTCACACCTAAAGCAGCTAAAGGGAAATCAGTGTATTTGTCACCGTGTGATTCAGTGGAGGCGAGTCCCTGTGAAGACAAACAGGAGAAGGTGAGTGAAGTTTCTCATGTAACTTTAAAAAACTAAACCTTAAAAGCTCGCTGTGAGGGCGACATTGCTAACCACTACACTGCCCATGAAACTATGCACCCTTTGTGTGTTATGGTAGAAAACATGTACTCTCACATAGAATATTATCACGTGGTAATGCATCATCTGCTCTTTCATTCACTCCTTGTCTCTGCAGCCCCATCAAAGGCTGAGTTCCTCTCTGAGGGAGAGGCTGAAGAGATCAAGGCGCTCCTTCAACTCACCCTTCTCCGTTGCAAAACGACTTTGTGTTGATGATTTGGAGGAGGGCGGCCAACACGTTTCAGCAGATTCCAGGGAGGCTGTTAATAATCCTCCACTCATCACTGTGCGCAATGTTGATGTAAACAGAAATTACTCGAGATCAGGGAGTGAAAGGTTTTCTGGACCCATTCCCGAACCAAGCCATCTTCCTTCTAAAGACTTAGCGCAGCAACGAGACCAACTGAGGAAGGAGGTCAAAGACAAGACGGAGACCCTGCGCAGACTCAAGATGGTTCAATTGTACCGAAGCAAGGTATCAGCCTGGGTTCCTCTAAGCATAAACATAAGGGCATTTATTATGTTAACCAGACTAAAATAGTGATTTCATATGTTTGTCTCTCTTCATAGAATGATTTAACGCAGCTTCAAACCTTGATCGACAAGTGGCGAAGTTGTGCTCAGGCTGCTCTCTGTAAGCTCCAGTCAGACGTCCTGATCGATGGACAGAAGGGCAGCCTGTCTCAGCTTATTGACCTCTTTGGTCTGGAGGACGGCATTCTGCACTTTGACCGCACAGAGGAGGACTTCACCTCCTAATGATATGTTCTGAAGCACACGCACAAGAAAATATTTCTATCATCAGATTACAAAAACACTGCAGCTGAAGAAACACATTTCAAAAATGCTTTATTAATTTATTTTCTTTGTTGCTGCTACAGCTTTTTCACAACTTGAGATGTAGATTTCATGTTCAGTTTACTTGTGAAGAGAAGTGTGAATAAAACCCTGTTTATTGTTAAAGAGAAGGTTTTGCTCAGTGTTTCAGCTCATCCAGAGAAGGAAAGGTCCTCATTCTCAGACGCTCAAGTTCTGCCCTGAGAACAACCAGATCTTCTCCCTGGGCTCTAGCATAATCCTTCAAATGCTTCTTCTGAGGGATTTCCAAGTAGCTCTCCTCTGTTGTGGGTTCCTGATTTTCCTCTGAATATAAACACCAAACAAGCCGGCATTTAGTCAGGAGACGGTCTAAAACTCCTTTTGCTACGTGTTTAATTAGATGTGAAATTACTGTTTTATTACCTGCTGCTTCATTGATGTGTCTCCTCTCCGCCACAGTCACCTGCATGTCAGGGAGCTGCTGCTCTATGATTTTGTTGCTCTGTGCTTTCATCGCTGCCTGCTTGTTGAGCTGCTCAATCTCCTTCATGCGATTCTGCACTTTGTGTTGATGAGTCTGAGAATAGAGTAAATACGAATTTTAACTTAGAGAGCATAAAAAAGAGCTGATTGATTAGATCACGTTGTTACTTTCTTTGTTACCTCTTTCTGTAAATCGATTGTTTTCTCCAGGATGGAAACTTGCTTGGATGTACAACCTGCTCGAGCTGTCTTGGTGAGATACTGAAATAGAAAAGAATAACTGACATTTATGAAACTCAAATTAAAAAGGACACAAGGAGCA